GAAGTGACAGGCATCAGGGGCTACCTGCAAATAACCAAGAATTTTGTGGAATTCAGAGCCAAAGAGACAGTCAGAGGCAAGTAGCTTTAAATTTTTTTGAGATGGAATCTACCAGCATAGTCCAGGCTTGCCTGGAACTTGTGATTCTCCTGCCTCAGTTTCTCAAGGCCTGGAATTATAAGCATATAACATAATCTTTAGCCTTAAATGGTTTAACTGTTACCCTTCACTCCACAAATTCCATTCTTTAAAGACTCTCGTTAAACAGACACACTCTTAAAGTTTGCTAATGAGATCTATAAATTTGCTCCATTTGAGCTACTCTCTTAGCCCCATATGTCTCAAAGCACCATTTGTACACAGAGTGTTCCAGGGCCTTCCGGAAATTTCACTCTCTATTCCATCATATTCATTCTCATATACAGTAAATAGTTACCGAGCTCCATGATTTGGGTGCTGGTCTAGATTCTGCAGATACAGTAAGGGGGAAAAAAAAACAAAACAAGGGTTGGGGATTTAGCTCAGTGGTAGAGTGCTTGCCTAGCAAGCACAAGGCCCTGGGTTTGGTCCTCAGCGCAAAAAAAAAAAAAAAAAAAAAAAAAAAAAAGATTTTTGATTATCCAATGTCCATTTTCTACTGATGATAATATAATACCACGAACTAGGTAAGTTTGCAATTGTTTAACAGAAGCTTGGTTTGAAATAAACATAAAAACACACGTATATACATACATACACGCATACACACAAATAGATAAACAATTTTTCAAATCTATGCACAGGAGCTGGAGTGGTGGTGCATGCTTTGAATACCAGCACTCGGAAGGCAGAGACTGACAGATTTCTGTGAACTCAAGGCCAGCCTGACATAGCAAGTCCCAGGCTACCCAGGTCTACACAGTGAGACTTCGTTTCAAAAGAAAAATCTGTGAAAAGGCTTCCCATGCAGAATAAATAGTTAGTGCAATGACTTTGTAAGAAAAAGAAGTCTGCTGTATGAACACAGCAAGGGCCGGGAGTTAGATCGATAAGGTTGGAACAGTGGACAGTAGTTTTGAATCCCATTTGAAAAGATTTTGCCCAGGCTTCTCTAATGAAGAATAGGGGTACAAGGCTGGAGAGATGGCTCAGCCATTAAAGGCTAGGCTTATAGCCACAAAATAAGAGACTAGGGGTACAAAGGTGACGTCAGGAAGACTATGAGGCAATTTTATTTTCCCGTGTACGGTACAGTGATGGTGAGAACTAAGGCATAGCAGTGTGTGTGTGTGTGTGTGTGTGTGTGTGTGTGTGTGTGTGTGTGTGTGTGTGTGGTGGGGAATCAATGGATAAATAGAGGGTATCTTTCAATTTTTATCATTTTCATTTATTTTTATGTATATGAGTTTTTTTTATCTGGATGTCTGTAGGCCACGTGCATGCGTGGTACCCATGGAGGCAGAAGGCACTGGATCCCTGGGGGAAAGGGAACTGGAGTTTCCGAGGGAGGTGAGCTGCCTTGTGGGTGCTGGGAGTCAAACCCAGGTCCTTAGGGAGAGCAGCCAGTGCTCTTAACAGGTGAGCCATCTCTCCAGATCCATAAACTGGGGGAGAGGTTTTAAAGAGAGAGCCAAAGACCTCTGAGGATTGGCTATGTAAAATATGCAACAATTTACCAAGATCACTGATTTGCTCATTACCTGCCTCTCTAGTAATCAAGAACATTGAATCCGTTGGTGACTAGCCTTCCCACACAGTTCCCAATGAATGAGTGGACCTCGGTGGTGGTACTTGTACTAGCTGACCCCACTACCTATACCCAGCCAGGGTGGATACATCACTCACTGTGGCTGGCCATTAGATTTGGGCTCTGAGAAACTTAGTCTGTGATATAACTGGAGATGAGATGAAAGAACGTGTAACAGGCTGGAGCAATGGCTCCTCTTCCAGAGGATCTCAGTTTGATTTGAATTTGAGGTGTACCAACTTGCAGAACTTCTGATTAAGTTGGGGATAGGTTAAGGGAAAATAGTCTAGGATCACTTCCAGGTTCCTAAATGCTATATTTTCCCCTGTCTTAGTCAGGGTTTCTACTGCTGTGACGAAACACCATGACCAAGAAGCACATTGGTGAGGAAAGGGTGTATTCAGCTTACACTTCCACATCGCTTGCTGTTCACCACTGAAGAAAGTCAGGACAGGAACTCACACAGGGCAGGAACCTGGAGGCAGGAGCTGAAGCAGAGGCCATGGAGGGGTGCTGCTTACTGGCTTGCTCAGCCTGCTTTCTTACAGAACCCAGGACCACCAGCCCAGGGATGGCACCACCCACAATGGACAGGGCCCTCCCCCACTGATCACTAATTGAGGAAATGCCTTACAGCTGGATCTCATGGAGACATTTCCTCAGCTGAGGCTCCCTCCTCTCTGATGACTCTAGCTTGTGTCAAGTTGACACACAAAACCAGCCAGTACATCCCCCAAACCACTTTGTAAATATCTTAAAATATCTGAGGCTGGAACCGCAGGGGCTAGGGAGGTGTTCCTTGTTTATTGGCTTACGGCAGTGGTAAATAAGGTCATGAAGGAAAAAGTGCGGTGAGCTGGGCCTGTGACCTTTCCAGGTTTCTGGGAGGCTGTTAAGTGTGGGCCTAGCCCATGTAAACTGAAACTGCCTGTGTGTTCTGGCTATCCCCCCAGAAAGATAACATTCTCGGTCTAAATCAGGTGTTGTCTTTATGGAACCCAACTCAGAAAGCCCCTCCTGAGGCTTTCTATTAGACTGAAACAGTGCTTGTCTGTTTCTCTTTGGTTATCTGCTTTATTCTCTATGCAGAAGACTACGTACTTGGGATTTTTCTTCTGACAAATGCTGGTCACTTTAAAATGGAGGCCTCAATTTCTGAAACTACATGACCTCTTACTTTTATTTTTTAAATTATTTTAAAATGTTTATGTGTAAGGGTGTTTTGCCGACATGTATGTCTGTGCACTACGTGCATGCAGAAAGATTTGGGTTGGATTCCTAGCATCCACCTGGTGGCTCACAATCACCTGTAACTCCAGTTCCAAAGGATCTACTGCCCTTTCCTGGCTTCTGCAGGCACCAGGTGCCTCCTCATGGCTCCCCCTGCTGGAAGAGCTAACAACCAACTCTCTCCACCTCTCCCTCATGCAAACTTGACTTCAAAAATTCTTACTTAATCTTGCCTGCCTCTGCCTAAAGCACTTTATTTTTAATCCCGGCACTGAAGAGACAGAGGCAGGCAGATCTCTGTGCGTCTGAGGCCGGTCTGCACTACATAGAGAGTTCCAGGACAGCCAGAGCTATATAGAGATACCCTGCTTCAAAAAGATAGAAAAGCAAGCAAGAACTTTACTGTGTCTCCATCATTTACAGGCAAGCCCGAGGTCATGATAAGGTCTCCGTCATCCAAGCCTGCCCAACTGTCTCCTGCAGCGCTCCACCGCTTCTCACCCCTCAATGCTATCAGTTGGTTTGCCCCTTTGTCTTTTCACACATGCCCGAGTCCCTCGACCGCTGTTTTGGCTGTTGTTTGCTTGCTTTTTGAGACAAGATCTCACTGTGTGTGTAGTCCTCGTCTGTCCGGGAACTCACTCTATAGACCAGGCTTACCTCAAACTCACAGAGATCCGCCTGCCCCTGTGGGAGTAAATGCATCAAGCCCGACCAACTCTCCTCTCACTCATTCTTTACAACTCGGTCTCCAGCATTTCTGTGAGTGTGAGGCTAGCATACATTGACGCACTGTGACTTTATCTGCTTCCTTGGCTGGCCTAAAGGACAGGGTCTCAGACTCGCCATTTAGAGAATGACTGCTGCTTACTGGGCTTCCAGAAACTGAACGACAGCCCGCTCCGCCTGGAGCGGCATGGAGGCACTGGCGTTCTTCGCCAGAACAGCCCCACGGCAGCAGGAGCATGGGTCCCAGGTTTCACCAGGGAGTCCTGCCCCTGGCTGTGCCTGGGGTCCTTTTTGAAAATCCCGAAGCCCGAATGCCCGCCCTGCCCACACCCCACCCCGGGGGCCGAGTCCACCGGTCTCAAGGGAGGCCAGGCTTTCGCGTTTGGTCCTTGTTCCGTTTGGGACATTGCCGCACGATGCTCCCCCGGACTCCACGGCGGGGCTCGCTGCCGAGGCCACGCGCACCTGCCCGCCGGCCCCGCACCGGGCTCCTGGGGCTCGGGCGCAGGGCGACGGCGCCGCACCCCGGCGGCCGGCTGGCGACGACAAGGCCGGGCGCGTGACTCGCGCTGGGCGCAGCGCCGCGGCCCGGGAGGTGGGCGCGCCCGCGGCCTGGGCGGGCCGAACCAACGCGCTCCGCGGAGGGGCCGCGCCACGGCTGCCCAGAGCGGACCATCGGCACCACGCCTGCAGGGGGCGCCGGGCGTGACCAACGCCGAGCCGAGGGGAGCGGAGGGGAGCGCCGGCGGGGGCTGCCACGCGACCCCTGGAGGCGCCGGGAGGCGTCAGAAGCCGCCGCCCGCGCGGAGGGGACGCGGCTGACAGGTGAGCAGCGAGGTAGGCGCGCCTCTCCCCAGGCTAGCGGGACCCTGGACTCCCACCGTCCCCCACCTTGCGAGGGGTCCCTGGGGACGGGGGGCCTCGGCCTGCCCACCCACCCTGGCCACAGCCGGGCGCTCGGCCTGCCCGCCCCGCCCTCGCGCCTCCCGTCTGCATCCTCTGGTCCCCCGGCTCTGCTGCGGAGGTCCAAGGGACCCTCAGAAACGCAGCACCAGCCAGCCCTTTGGGCACCACCCAAGTCCACCTCCAACCGTCTCCTCAAACTGTCCCCCTTCCCCGAGACGCCCGGACCGGCTCGTGCCAGCCATCGCTGAACCCACATCTGTGTCCTCCCGGTGGGAGCACAGCTGCCTGTCATCTCCCGCAGTGACCGCAGCGGGTCCTCTGCGCCCTCCGTGCCTTTGGCTCCGGGTTCCCAAGTTGGTCCTTGCCCAGCGCCGGCCAGTTTTACCTCTCGCCCCGTTACTGCACACACCTGCCGTGAAGGACAAGGTGATCCAATTGTCATAGACTAGCTGTGGCTCGCCAAGGTGGCCCTGCAGACACTGAGAGGGCCGCACACTGCTTATCTTTGTTTCTCCAGTCCCCAGGACAGTGCCTGGCACATAGTAGCACAAATTAAATACCTCCTGGGCAGATGAAAGAATAAACGAGTCCAATGCAGGGAGTGCAGGGCAGGAAAGGTGTGTCTCGTTACATAAAGAAGAAAAGGGTGTTGGGATTGGTTCAATCTTTCGGTCTAGGAATATACAGAATTTATCACCTTTCCATTCTTGTTCCAGTCTCGTTTACCATTAGGACTTCTATGTACCTGCTGTTTACATTGTGGTTTTTTTGTTTTGTTTTGTTTTTTAAGGTCATCTAAGGGCTGCAGAGGTTCTTATTGGTTAGTTCCTTAGAGGCTACTCAGATAATCTTGGAAGAGCTTTGCCAGGGTTACCGTTCCTCTTCCTTGGAGACTAGCTGCTCCCCCTGGGGAAGAACTCTAGAGCCAGCCCCGGCCCTTAAATCTGACTCTGTAGCTGGTTGAGCCATGCTTCAGGCAGGTTGAAGGAAGGACCTTGGTTAGTTAGGTTCAGGGTTCAGGGACTTGTTTTTGGCCCAGGCTTTAAGGAAAGTAGGCGGTGTTGCTGGATGATGAAACGCAGGAAAACGGTAGCCGTTTGTAAGCTGGGAAGAAGGGCCTGATAGCAGTATTCCAACACAGGCTCAGAGTTATTAGCAAATGAAAATAGTCGCTGAGGGGGGCTGGGGTTTATCTCACCGGCAGAGTGCTTGCCTAGCGTCACAAAGTCAATGGCTTCAATCCCCAGAAACAAACAAACAAACAATAATAAATAAATAGCACAGGACGTATGCAGTAGAATGTATGCAGTAGTGTGGCTTCATGGGAAGATGCCACCTCAACACTACCCCAGAACCCCCTCCTGCTGCCTGGCCTTGGGCACTTACACAGCTGTTCCTTTCTGCGTCCCACTGATTTTTATATTGATGTCAAAGGACGCTTTTTTGTTGTTTTGCTTTGGTGTTTTTTTGTTTTGTTTTGTTTTTTGTTGTTGTTGTTGTTTTGAGACAAGGTCTCACTTTGTAGCCCTGGCATGCCTTGAACTCAAAGACATCTGCCTGCCTCTGCCTCCTGAGGGGTGGAACTAAAACTGTGGGCCACCCCATGCAACTTGACGGTCACTTTCGGAAGTCTGCCTTCAGAGATGCAGAGGATGTTTTTCACGTGCCAGTGTCTGCCTTTGATTACTCACACCCTCTGACATGTCTTTGTATAGTAAAACTTTAGATCACAGAAACCCAGCGTGGGGAGAGGCTCCTGAGCCAAATTAAGCAATATGTTTTTTTTTACTTTTCTTTTTTTGTAATCTGTATATTTTTTAAATGAATTTAGAATTTTTGCTACTTTTTCTGGCATAGGCTCCTTGCAGACCTCAATTACCCTAGATCAGAACCCCCTGGATTATTGATTTTCTCCTCAATCCCAAAACTTCAGAGCACTACCAGATAAGATAGTTGCCCAGTTAAATTTGAATTTCTGATAAACAATGGAGCCCTATAATTTTACTTGCTAAATCTGGCAACTGTAGTTCACGAGGAGGCTTATGTGTTCTGTTTTCCTCTCAGGGCTTGCTTGCAAATTTAGGACAATAACTCACCCTTTTCTTCCTGTCTTCCTGTTACTCACACACAATGACTGTGCACTCTGCTAAAAGTCACTTGACCAAGAGGTCATGCAGTACATGCTTGGGTAAGGCCAGGCTCTGTGAAGTGCTCTGATAGGTCAGTGTTTAGGTTACCCTGAAGATACTCACTCCAACAGTGGTTTGGAATCTTGCTCTTTCTATCCCGTGAGTCCATTTTGCATGGGAGCACCTTTTGGGTGGACAGGTATTAACACTGCACTAAGACAGCTGGCCGTGGGCACTGGGGTGGAATGGTGGGTGTGGGGTTCTTAGAACAGTAACAGCGTGTTAACCGATGGCACGTTCTCTGTTGTACCAAATTTACTCTCCTTTTCATTGTGATAAAACTTTATGTTCATACAGTTGTACAACCATCTCCATCCATTTTTAGAACTTTCATCTTTTAAATTATTTATTTTTATGTGTGTGGGTTTTTGCCTGCATGTATATCTGTGCACCACATGTATGCAGGGGGCCCTTGGAGGCCAGAAGAAGGTGTCTAATCCCTTGGAACTGAAATTACAGCGGGTGGTGAGCCAGCATGTGGGTGCTGAGAATCAAACCCAGGTCCTCTGGAAGAGCAGCCAGTGCTCTTAACCACTAAGCCATGTCTCTAACTCCTTTTTTTTTCATCTTCTAAACTGAAACTTTGTACTAGTAAGACTAACTCCCCGCTTCCCCAACCTCCCATCTCCTGGAGTCAACATCTCACGTCTACCTCTGAACTTGGCTGCTATAGACACCACATAAGTGAACTCATGATAGTTTGAAATAGTTTCTTTTACCTAACTGAATTTTTTCAGGTTTTATCTATGTTGTAGCTTATATCAGAGTTTCCCTCATATCTAAGGCTGAATATACTTGGTGTGTGTGTGTGCGCATTGGAGAATGGGTACATGCCACATTCTGTATTTCTGTTGATGGATACTTGCGATGCTTTTGCCTTCTAGCTGTTACAAATAATGCTGGAATGAATATGAGCATACAGATATGTTTGAGTTTCTTCTTTCAATTTTTGTGATTTGTACCAAGAACTGAGTTGCTGGCTTACATGATAGAATTATGAAGTTTTTTTAATAAGAAGCAGCATAAGTTCTCATAAATACTGTACCGCTCCTCACTCCCACCAGTACACAGGGGTCGTTTTCCAGATCCTTGCCAGCACATGTGATTCTGTGGGTTTTAGATGACCATCCTCGTAAGTATAAAGCAGTGTCATTGTAGGTCTGTGATTGTTTCACTGTTCTGTTTTACAGTGCCGGGGACCAAATCCAAAGCCCCTCAGCTTCTCAGGCAGCTGGCGCTGTCTTCTTACAACATTTTCATACATCACCTCTGTAAGTTGTTCAGTCTCCCTTCCTCTCAGGCCACCCTCCCTCCCCGTGGTTTTGATTTGCACCCCACATCTTTTTGTGTCTTTACTGGCCACGTGTGGCTCTTCTTTGGAGAAATATCTGCTCAAGTCCTAGCCCCGTTTTGTCCTGGGGCGTTTTCTGTTGCCGAGTCAAATGTCCTTTGTGTATTTAAGCATTAACCTGCATCCGAGAAGTGCTTTGTGAATATTTTCTCCCAGTCTGAGAACTGGCTTTTCTCTCTTGATGGTTTGTTTGTTTGTTTGTTTGTTTTAGATACGGTCTCACTATTTAGCCCAGGCTGGCTTTGAACTCAGTGTACAGGTCTTTAATTTCTTTGACTAAGTTTATTCCTAAGTATTTTTTTCTCTTTGATGTTACTATATATGGGACTATTCTTAATTTCCATTTTGGTTTATTCATGGTTAGTGTGTAGAAACACAACTGATTTTTTTTTTTTTTTTTTTTTGGTTTTTCGAGACAGGGTTTCTCTGTGTAGCTTTGCGCCTTTCCTGGAACTCACTTGGTAGCCCAGGCTGGCCTCGAACTCACAGAGATCCGCCTGGCTCTGCCTCCCGAGTGCTGGGATTAAAGGTGTGCGCCACCACCGCCCGGCCACAACTGATTTTTATGTGTTAATTTTGTGTCCTGCAATTTTACAAAATTTGTCCCAGTGCTTTCTGTGGAATTTTTAGGGGTTCCTGATTGTGGGACCATTTCATATGGGGATAAAGATAACTTTCCTTAATCTTTTTTAATTTGGATGTCATCTACTTATTTATTTATGATGCAGAAATCTAATTAATCTTACCAGTAAAAAACCAGGAGCCAGATACTGGGTTAAGAATCTGAAAGATCAGAGAAGCAGGGTGCAGTCATCAGTGACTTCCTACCTCTTCCTTTCCTCTGACCAAAAGGGCCGAGATCCTGTCTCAGCCCCGCCTTACCACTTCCTGTCCCTCTCTCTACAGTCCTCCAAACCTCTATGGTTAACTAGTGGCTAGCTCTGAACTCTGATGCCAAGCGAGCTTTATTTGTCAGAACACAAACAAAATATCACACAACACATTTATTGGCCTCACTTCTTAGGCAGGGCTCTTGGTATCTGTTGAATAGAGCTGGCCAAGTAAAATGTATTTACTCCTAACACACATCCTTATGGATTTGACGATTTGGTGTTTGAGCCCTCAGTTGGCACCTAGAAAAAAACTGGTCCATTAATCAACAGTTGAGAATTGTGGGTCCGGAGAGATGGCCCAGCAGTTAGTTAAGAGCATTTGTTGCCCTTTCTGAGGACCAGAGTTCAGTTCCCAGCACCCATCAGCTCACAACTGTCTATAAGTCCAGCTCCAGAAGACCTGATGCCCTTTTCTGGCCTCAGTGAACACCTGCATACACACACACACACACACACACACACACACACACACACACACACACACACACACACCTATACACACAGACACACTTACAGACATGTAAAAAAAATTAATCTTTAAAAAACAGAATTGCCGGGTGGTGGTGGTGCACGCCTTTAATCCCAGCACTTGGGAGGCAGAGCCAGGCGGATCTCTGTGAGTTCGAGGCCAGCCTGGCCTACCAAGTGAGTTCCAGGAAAAGGCGCAAAGCTACACAGAGAAACCCTGTCTCGGAAAAAAAAAAAACCTCAGAATTGTTGCCAGGTGGTGGTGGCACACACCTTTAATCCCAGCACTCAGGAGGCAGAGTCAGGTAGATCTCTGTAAGTTCAAGGCCAGCCTAGTCTACAGAGCAAGATCCAGGACAGGCACCAAAACACACAGAGAAACCCTGTCTCGAAAAACAAAAACAAAACAAAACAAACAGAAAACAGAATTGTCAGGTAAAGATTACATTATAGCCTATGTACTCTAAATAAAGCAAAAGAATATAATACATTTTAGAAGGATTTATACCAAACGCAGCTAAGGATTTTTGTTTTATTTTATATATATACATATATATATGACTTGTTTTTATTTTATATGTATGAATGTCTTGCCTACATGTACATATGTGTACCACATGTATGCCTGGTGCCCTAGGAAGCCAAAAGAAGGCATCGGAGACACCTGGAACTATCCTTACAAACAGTTATAAATTGCCATGTTGGTGTTGGGAACCAAGCCCCAGTCTTCAGCAAGTGCTCTTAACCAGTGAGCCATCTCTTTACCAACTCCTGCTGGGTTTTGTTTTTTTGTTGTTTTTTTTTTCTCTCTCTCTCTAAGTAATTTGATCCTTAAAAAAGAAAATCTCTGTTGCTTGGAATTCTTCATTTAATAAAAAGTCTCTTATCTTCTCCAAAAATGTAAGACAGTAAGCCTGTGTGTTTCAGCTTCTTATGTAAGGTCCTGTGGACAAGAACCATGGGTTGATAACTGGTCTTCAGTTGTGTGTCTGACTCCCTCGGAAGGCTCCAAACTCATGGCCACAAAGATGGCCCTGGTTAGACTCTGTGGGTCTTAAAACAAAACAAATTGACATGAATGTGAGAAAGATCTGTGGGGAAGCCAGGGTTGGGGCTGCAGACAGGGAGATGAGAGAGGGCAGTGGTAAGAATGAGCAGTATGCATTGCCTAAATGTGGGAAATGGTCAATGAAATGATTAAAATGAATAAGACCCATCTAACTTCTTGCTATAATGTAGTTATCTTAGGCTCCAAAGGCTAAACTTATCTGCTGTGTAACTAAACCAAAAATCTGCCTTTGATTTGTTTATGTATTTTTCTACTTTGGTGCTTCTTTTCATTTCCTGTACAGTTCTTTTTAAAAAGAAAATTCAGCTTCACAGTTCGTGCACTTAAGCAAAACTGGAAAGTTGTTTTATCCATGCATGGGTAAAAGAAAAGAGAGTTCTCAAGATGACATAGCTCAGATCCAGATGAACCTGGGGGAAAGGGGAACCCTGGAGAGAACTGAAGACTTTCTGCTGGCCCTGTTCACCCTGGGCTTATTTCTCTTTCAAAGTTTTCTTACTGTTTTCTTTGAATATTAACCCAGTCTGTTGACCTAAGATACAGCCAGATTTTGTTATACAGAAAAACAATTTTCTGATGGTTCTGAAGAGCTGGAAATTTTTCTGTAAGATGCTAATGTTAACGGTTTCCTTTCTGGTGTCTTCCCAAAGGGTTTACTGTCTCATGTCTCTATCACTAAGTAACAGATCATCCCAGAGCAACCACTGAGACTCGAGTATGGCACTGGGAGACTGAGGCAGGTTTATGAGTTCAGAACCTGCCCGGGCTACATCGGGAGCCTGTCTCAAACAACTCCGGCTGAGATC